ACTGTTTATTACTTATCCCCAAGCCATTTACTTCCCTTTAACACTCTAATCTCCACTCTCATATGCTGACATGGGTATTTTTTAATTAAAGCACCTTTTCACTGTTTAAGTTTGCTTGACAGATAGCTGCTTGTCAGCTTTTCGCTTTTAACTTCTTGTTTGCTCAGCAGTGAGGCTTTTCATAATTAAAGCCCTTTTTCAGTTATTCTGGTCCGCAATATTTATCCTTCCGAAAAAATACGAAAGAAATGGTTTTGCATGACTGACTGATTGAAGGAAACCCTTCAGGTGCTCGTCTGTTCTTCAGTAACACAAGTTTTTAAATTTAACTGCAGAAAAACTTCAAAACTTCAGTGACCCTCATGAACAGCTCTGAGTCAGTTCTCCTCCTGGTGTCAACACTTCACATCCGTTCGTGCCAGATCAGAATCTGTGCAGAGCAGCTACAAAGCGAGATCTCGAATAAGCAGCCATGAATTTGTCTCACAGAAGTATTTTGAGCACCACCCCCCCAACAGAAATGCCCCAGATAATGAAAATCTATGTTGAAAATCTCTTCTCCTTATCTAACAAACGTGCGTGAAAATCACAAATTAGGTAAGGAAATATTCAGCACACGAGGAGGAGACCAGAGCTTTTTCAGACACTGTATAGTATTGCAGTTGACAAATAAAATCATAGAATCATAGAATGGTTTGGGTTGGAAGGGACCTTGAAGATCATTGAGTTCCCCCTCCCCTGCCATAGGCAGGGACACCTCCCACCAGCCCAGGTTGCTCCAAGCTCCGTCCAACCTGGCCTTCAACACCTCCAGGGATGGGGCAGCCACAGCTTCTCTGGGCAACCTGGCCCAGTGCCTCACCACCCTCAGAGTGAAAAATTTCTTCCTGATATCTAATCTAAACCTATCCTCTTCCAGTTTAAAGCCATTCCCCCTCATCCTATCATGTATGGCCTATCAAATGTAACTGCAATGGCAACGTCTAAAATAGCATGAGAAACTTGTTGCTCATAAAAAAGCTTGTTTCAATTTCAGACTCCGGTTCTATGTATGGAATTTGCAAAAAGATAAGGAAAAGCCTCCATAAATACCTAAACAAAAGCTGGTTACTTCGAGCTTTCCTGGCCACATGTAGACCAGTAATTATTAGGGCAATCAAAGACACTTTGGAAAATAAAGACCATGTCCTAATTTAAGCAGTTTTACCCTAATGTGCACGTAGGTTGCATAACCACTCAGCGGTGGCTTTTGCACCCTCCTACTTTTCAAACTCCTGGAGCCAAGCATGCTCTATCTCAGAAAAGAATGAAACTCTCAGCCAAGATTTGTCAACGGGAATTCTTGGCCATAAAATGTACCACCAGGAAATCTCTGAGGTTGACTTTAGGTAGAAAATAAAGTTGTGTGCACTGATCTTGCTGCATGCGAAAGTTGTCCATAGCATTGGAACATAGCTGGGAAAATTTTAGCCTATAAAAGGAGGCGTTTCACAAATTTATGGCTTATCAAATACTCGTAACTCGAACAAATATTCATAACTATACTGCTTTGCCACACAGACCTGAATCCCCCTCAAATAGCCTGCAGCCGTAGGCACTGAAACCAATGGGGACCTTGTCACTGGTTTCAATGGGCATGGGATGTTACCAAAACAGCAGCTTCAGCAGAGCTTTCAGAGAGAAACACTAGGAAAAATCTTCATTTGTAACTAAATGTTCCATGTTTCAAAAGACTGGCCTCAGATGTGCTTTGGAATATTTTTTTTTTTTTTTTAGGATATGTCTTTCTTCTACCAGGCTGCATATTTATCAGCTCTACTCCTAGACATGATCTTAAGAGCTTACCTCCCAGGGGATCAGAACTTCTTTCTAATTTGCTTCTTTATTAAAATAATCAGGGCTTGAAATTAACTTTTTTTTTATTGCTCACAATCTTAGCTACTTACATGAAGAGCAAATAGCACATTTCCATATCTTTTTTGAGATGTTTGCTTATTTCTTTGCTCATCTGCCTTTAGCAAGTTCATGTTCTGAAAATGGAAAAGCAAGAGACTGCAGGTACAGGGGAATTAATAGTTTATTTCATCTCAGGAGAAAAAAAACACCTAAAACCATAAAAATTCAAATGTATGGTATTTATTGTTTGGGAAGATTAAGGTAACAAAAGAGATGTATCTTCAAGTTTTAATTTTGGAAAGGAATTCCTGTGGACTTACTGTAACTCAGTTTCTCAGCTGCTTTGTTTCTCAGTTTACCATTTTAAAGTGAGGCAAATAATACTCTTCTATTTTATAAGAACATTTCACAGCTAAATAATTCAGGGCCAGACTGTGCTATATCTTTTTCACGTTGTGTGTTATCTTGCCATGCAAGTAACCCCAAAGGACCAGCAAACCTATGTGGCAACTCCAAAGACAGGCTTCCTTCAGGACAATCACGTGTTATTCGACATCATAAAGACTGACAAAATCTGGCTGTTGAAACTTCATGAGATGTTCAAACACTACAGTGACAGCAGCCATTAAAGCTAGAGATAAATTACATCTAAACCAACCCCACTTTGCTGCATTCCTAGCTTCTAAAATATCTTTTGATTTCAGTATCGCTACTCTTCATTGTCAGCACATTTTTTTTTAAAATCTAAGACCTCTGAATTTCTCCTCAGACAAGGACGTAACCACAGCTACTGCTGCCAGGTAAAATTACGGCAATGAGTTCTGCTTTGCACAACTTTTGGAAAGCATTCAGAAATGGTTTGCTTCTTCGGTGGTGAGGACTTTAATAAAAGAGTGTCCTCACAGTGCAGAAAGTGCCAAAACTTCTTCCTGGAAGTAATAAAAGACATTTTTTTGCACGAAGTGGTGAGGCTGTGGTTTAGCTGGAGACTGTGTAAAGGCTGTAGGGATGGCACAGCGTATGCAGGGTGTGTACTTTGAGGAGCCCACAACAATTTATTGTCGTTTACACAGTTATTCTCTCACCTGATGACCCCTCCTCACTCAGGAAGGGGAATCGGGAAAAAACAAGGCAACCCAGGGCTTAAAATATAAACAGATTTAATAGAGTAAGACTAAATAATAAACGTTAATAATACTAAAGAACCAATATTCATCCCTATACCAATATAAAATATACGAGGATTATACTCAGCCTGTTCTATCTGTAGGAAGTTGTGCAGTCCCCGCAGGGGACAGCCAATGTGGGACACTGTGAGCGCTGCGGCTTCAGGAGGAAGGGAAGAGCTCAGGGCTCCGGCACCAGGGCAAGGAGTTCTCAGGATCACAGCCATCAAGGGAGAGAAAAAACTCCTCAGCAAACTTCCTAATTTATACTGAATGTGCCATTCATGGTATGAAATAACCCTGTTGGCCAGCTTGGGTCAAGTGCCCAGGTCTCACTCCTCATCCTGGTGAGCTGGAAAACACTGACACCTTGAAACCTGCACACCATAGCTGGCTATAAAGTAAATTTTTTCACAAACTCAGACACTAGAGTCTTCTAAAAATGCTGTTTTCCCAAGCATTAGAAGAGACCTTACTGAAAGAGAGATTAATCCTGTGTCGCTCAAGCCAGGACAACCACGCTGGAGGTGCTGCCTTCCTCCGCCTTCCCAGAAAACCCATCTCCGTACGGATGAGAACAAAGTCACTGTTATAGGAGTAATTACACAAATTAAATTAATATGAAGGGGCTTTATGAGAAGCTGTTTTAAGCTGCTGGATGTGCTCGGAGTGAAGTAACTCGGCCTGAAGGATGATGCAGGCTGAGGATTTATAGATTTAATACTCCTTCCTGAACAGTTTGACACTTGAATTGCTGAGGCTACCACTTCCACACCCTGGGATGGTCCAGCATCCCAAACTCAGAAAAAAATAACGTATGGCCTGCTGCAATAATTGTAATTTCTTTGGTTTATGTTTTCTTGGGCTCCTAAAGCCATGGCTGGGTAAGTTTAGGCCGGGCAGCACAGGGCAGGATCGTCCCAGGTTGGTCTGTGGAGCTGATGGACCAGAGCTGTCCCACCACAGCCCTGATGAGCACCTTGTGGAGAACATTTTCCCATACAAAATCTTCTGAGGTTGTTTTTGGGTTTGGTTTGTTTTTTGGTTGGTTTTTTTTTTTGTGTGTGTGTGTGCTTGCAAAACCATTTTCCCTTCAGAGGGAGAAACATCTCTATAAAACCGCTCAGGCTTCTCAAAACAAAGGGGTGAAGCACCGCGGAGGCGATCCCTCAGCTCCAGGGCCCGGCACGGACCGGTCTGTGAGGGGGGATCCCCCCCTCTACGGGGGATCGCCATGTTACTTATTCTATAAAGCACCTTCCTCCTCCGCCTCCCTGTCCCCCCACCCCCGCC